CACAATACCGACAAGTGATTAATAAAAGTCAAAAGACCAAAGAGGTCACCTTAATACCAAAAAAAAAAAAAAAATAAAGTAGTTGTATTTTGTCTACTAAGTCTTTTTTCTTGGAAGTTAAAATAAAATTTGTCATATCATTTTTGTGTTTTTTCTATATATTTGCTTTAGTTTTGTTTGAAAATTAAGGATCAGTAGAGAAAGATTTTTGTAATTAGTATTTTATATATGCTAGCTTTAGTTTTCTAAAACTAATAATATTTTTTTATAAAGTTAGCATCTAGCAGATTTGCAATTTTGTTTTCTTTTTTATTTAAATATAGATCTAAATTACCAAACTTTCATATAACTTATATTTTTTTGACTTTTAGCATTATATAATATGTTAAATTATTTTTTCAAATTTTATTATATAGTTTAGAAAAGTTATTATACTAATTATTTCTGTTATATCTATAAGCAATATTTGCTAAAAAGAGCTTCCACTCTTTTATCTTTAGTATTGGAAAAATTTAACTTATTTTCTATTTTCTTGAAAAGATATTATTCTTTAAAATCTTGTTTAGCAAAAATATAAACCTGTTTATCACTTTTGGCTCTGTCTTTTGTATTATAATATAACTAATACCTGATATACCTGAAGCAATGTTTTTTTTGTTAGTTTTAGACATTCTTTCTATTCTGGTTTCTAAATTGGTTCTAGTATTTTGCTAAACCATTCTTTCTTAATCCATATCTTGGTCTTATATTTTTTTTTCAATCTTTTGGAAACTGCTCAAAGAGATGTTTTTTCTTTCTAAACTAACTCTTAAAATAATTATTTGTTTCTTTTTTAACTTGATTCAGTTCTGTTATTAATGTTCCTTGAGGGGGATGGGGTCCCGTAACCTAGTGGTCTAGGCGCCCCTCCCTCCACAGACAAGGTTGACGGTTCAATCTCAGCTAGAGGCAACTCTGTAATCTACGGAAGCATATGAATGTACACGAAGCCCTGTGGCTAAGTCCATGTGATTAGAAGATTGGTGTATAAGGAAGTTCCCAGAAAAAAGATTCCCGATATGGAGAGTTGGCGCTTGATGTGAGAAAAGCGGTGAATATACCAGAAATGGAGAGAAGGCACACTAGCAGGTGATATGGTGAATATAAAAGGAAACTATAGAAAAGGAATGAACTTTCTGAAATTCGAACACTTCTGGCACCAAACCAGTTCTAGTAGATACGTGATCTATTAAAATTGAATAAATCTAAGAAGTAATCTTGGTACCATACTTAGTAAGTCTGCGTCAAGTGTAAATTCGAGGGACTATGGATATCTGGTAACATCCAATGAGGTGGTACCTTGATATAAATAGTAATTAGATAGCCCTAACCTAACATGTCTATGTGGTAATAGAAGCATTGCATATATGCAATAGGATTAAAATCAGAAAGTTTAAATAGGGGATTCACAGGTGGATCTCAGGTATGATAGCTAGTGGGTAACCCTTGGGCGGAACCTTTAATTAGATAATGACTAAAGTTATACATGTGACTAGTTGTACTTTTATTGATAGACTTTGTATATACTTGAATAATAATATATTACCCAATAAAAACAGACAGACAAGATTGCCACTTTAAAATAAAAAAAAAAAAAAAAAAAAAAAAAAAAAAAAATTAATGTTCCTTGAGTATCTAATCTATCTTCTTTTAAAACTTTATTAATAACTATCTTTTTTCAAGATTTTTTCAAAATGCTATTTAATATTAACTTATTTTTTTTGCCAATCAAGTTATATCTCTGTTTTACATTATTAATAATATTTTTTTAATTCTTTTTCTCTTTTTTTTTTTTAAGTTTTTGCTCTAATGTCTTTATCTATTTTTTTGTCAGTTCTTTTCTATTTGTAATACTATTGATTTATTTATTTTATTAATTAATTTAATTTGCATATTTATTATCAGCTTATCAATTTCATCTAGTGTCTAGTCTGTTTCTTTTTCTACATGTTGAGTTATTCTTCTCAAATTCTTGATGTTTTTAAAAAATAAAGATCTATCTATATGTTTATCCATTTCTTCTAATCTATACTTTATTATCTTCAAAAATATATGCTTTGTAACTGCTTTTAGAATTGCCTTTTCAATTACTTCCTACTCTTCATTTATTTCTTCTTCTATTTCCAGTTTCTCTTCTATCATTTTCTTCTTATGTCTTTTGTTTTGAATATTCATTTTAAGTCTAACTTGTAATATTTTTTCTAATATTGTTTTGTACTTCTTCCATACCTCCTCTGTTGCCTCTTTGTATAAAAAAATTTTCTGTCTAGGTGCTTCTTCTATTAAAATTCTATTAAAGATTTGATCTATTAAATAATTATTTAAAAATTTAAATATTCAAATATGTAATTATTTACAAAATCAAAGGTTTGAATATATTTATTTTTTAATAATTAATTTAATAAATATTTGTTGATATTTAATAATTATTATTGATGGTTTGATTTGTAATTATTTTATTTATAAATATTATAAAATATTTGCATTGTTATAAAAACCTTAAAATAAAAAAAGAAACAAAAAAAAAAATTCATAACACTGCTATTATGAAAAGAAAATTCTTGTATTGTCACTATATCTGCGAAACCTGTCGCTAACTACCTAACACTTCCATTACTCAAGTGTTTAATGTATTTCTAACTGTGCTACTTTTTAATAAAAAAAACCAACTTTCACTATAAGACAAGATATTGTAAAGAAATTAACATGTCAAACATGTGATTTAAAAATTCTATTTTCTTAACGTGTAAACTTATTTACATAATTGTTTACCTATTTGTCAAAAAAAGTTAATTTTATTAACGTATGCGTCTATTTAATTCCCTGAGTCAGAATTTTAAAATAGAAGTTGGATCTTTTAAACTCCCACTTATGTTCGAAATAAATTAATTCTGAAACCTCCTATTACGCAATTTACTGAATGAGTCGAAGACATATTATAATTTATACTAAATAGAGAGTTTTTATCCGGGCCCGGGTTATAACACGGGTCAATGTCTGACCCGCCCGGGTCAATATTTTTCGACCTCTAATCCTACTATAATCAAATAGGCTGGCTACCAGGCATGACAATTTGAAGTTCATATATCAGAAATATTTAGCATTTTGCAATACGTATCTTGCGCCTCATGCTGTTAATGTATAAACGGTTTAAATCAAATAGTTACTTTATGTATTACGTAAGAATTTTGGCTTTTCTTACGCAAAGCCATCAGAAATTTACATCATGAAAACAAAGCAGTACAAGTGTATAATCACTTTTACAATCATTGTATACAACTGTTCTCAAAAAATACTAAATTGTTTCTTTTTGAGAAAGATTGACAAACTTGCGAATCTAATTATTTAAATTCAGATATATTAAACCAACATCCGTTATTCATAAACAGGCCTATTGAATAATTGATTGTGGGAGCAATTTTTTGAACTCAATTAATTGATTGGTGGCGCAGTCACAATGAGCAATTTTTCGTGTGATGAATTATTTGCGTGACAAATAAGAGTTCACTAATACGATTAATTATTAAATTCTTATTTGTCACATACAATGATTCATCGCAACCATGTGCAATTATTTCGTCATTAATTGGGCTTCAATTAATTTTCTAATTGATTTTAGTTGTATGACGTAAACAAAAAATAATTTTAATCGATTTTTGTTCATAAAGTGTTTACAAATCAGGTTATTTGTTTTTTAGGCCGGGAAAAAATAGCCTTTACCATCTGTGTCGATTTCTTTACGCCTTTCCACCTGACTATCAACGATAATTTATGACAAAATGATTTACTTACTATGATCAAATACATTTATTATGCTCTGGCAATGATAGTAAAAATGTCGTCATTCATTCTCTAACTTAAATCTCTTTAAAAAGTCTGATCTTTGCTTTTATTCACTTGGTTGCTTTCATTGAAATTGCAAATGTGCGTATAAAGAACGGACTTGTTTATATTAAATTTACAGACATTCGTGTTTAATAGTCTAAACCCTCAAAGAATTTAAGATTTGTTATTGAAGAATATTTATCTCAAATTGCACAAACCTTCGATACGAAAGGTATAATGTCATTTTTAAATCCTTAATAATAGTGCCTTAGTAATATTTCCATTTTGTAATAACTTTTTTCTGACGTTTACCAAGCGCATCATTCGTTTTTATGGACGCCGGTGACATAATGGAACATGAAATGAAGCCGAATGAACAAGATCAAACAACAAACCAGAAGACAGATGACTCTTTGAAAAGAAAACAAGTTGAAAAATTCAACGTTCCGAGCAAAAAATGGAATAAGATGCTGGAAAAAGCTAGATTAAATCAATCTTCTCTGTTGTATGTCTTCGTCGCTGTTTTGGCCGTAATGTTCGTTTGGTTGAAATTTCTAGGATGGTCCGAGAATTGGAAATTCTGGGAATGGTTTGGAGACCATATGAAGTAAGTTGAATTTGATAGCACACAACGAAGAGGGATGAAGAATTAAATGCTTTAAGGAGATGTGTGTTATATGTACATGGTGTTACTTTTGCAGTTTGCTTTGAATCTATAATTTGTGCTATTACGTAAACTTTTTATTATAAGTAGTTTGCAGTTAATATCACGATAATTTCATGTGTCATTTATTATCAATTATACTTTTAATAAAATACTTTTTTAAATTTTGTAAAATATAGTCAACCATTTCTATAATCATCTCTACAATTATATTTACTTATAATCACATCAATTTTTAAAACCAGCTTATATATAAAACATAAAAATTTAACCTTTATATAAGCACAACTTTCTATAAGCACAAAATTCTTAGAATCAAGAAAGTAATTATAGAAAGTTTTGACTGTATTTTAATTTGATTAAAAAATAAGCATTCTAAATTTTTAAAAAGGCTTATTTCGATTAGACCGGCGTCTTTAAAAATTTTTTTCAAAAATTACACAAAAAAGTATTTTAGTAAAACTATCTTGGCTGTTGTCATGGGAGCGTACGTACTTCCAATCGAATAAAGAAAAATTTTTTAAGTTCTTTATTAACTGGACAATATTAGTATATTATACATTTATCATATGCACCAAATTTTGGTTAGAACTATCAACTTTAATTAAAATTTTTTTAAACGATTTATTATATACATACATTAAAAAATGGCAATTTGGCTAAATCAATTTTTGGATTAAAAGGAAAAAGAAATTAAGCGATAAATTTAATGTTGCTGCATTTAATTTCATTTGATTAACCAATCAAAAAATGTACATGTTTATTTTTAGGCTACTATAATGGTAAGCATAAACCAATACACTCATATACACATCCAATTGTTATTCTCAGATCACTGTTCTTGGACCAAAAATGGAAACGTTAAAGCGCACGAGCTCAAGCTTTAGTAATAGTAGAAAATATGTAGAATTTGGTGCAATAAATGGATCCATGTAACAAAATACGCCTCGACGTGTTCTTGTTACAACTGAAGCAATGCTAACTATTGTAAATGGAATAGTCAATTTCAAAATAAAACTATTATTGTAATCAAATTAATTTCAAATTAATTAAGATATCAAAACGATTCTATCAAATCTAATAAAAAAATGAATCTATAAAGTCTGTTTCTGTTATTCTAATAGTTTATTATGTTTTCAAATCTGATAACTGGTACGAAACCTGTCACCATGCATGTCAGTTCAATTGTATATAACATCAATAAAGAAACTACAAATTTGTTCGTCTTCAATAAATGTTAATATTCATTATTAACTATATTTTATATTTTATTGACGAATAAAAATAAGTAATATTTTGGAAATTACGAAAGCTATAATTCAGAATTCTGACCCAAAAAATATGTCCAGCAAAATGGGAATTGAATGTAAATTTAAAATTACCATATATTACCTTTCTTTTTTTTACAATTATAAATGTGCGTCCTGTATCATACAAAAAATTTGCCTTTTTCCTTTTAAAAAAAAAATAACAATAATAATCCTCGATCACTATGACAAGATCACGTAGGATTAATAATACCCTAGATCGTATGTGTGCAAGCGAAAATTTCGTTTCCGCTAATACCCAACGATCCAGAACATTACTATTACTAAATATTATATTTGAAAGTTCATAAATTATTTCTAATACAACCAAAAAATTATTACAAAATAATAATCCCTAAATATAATGTTACAAGTTAATATCCCGATCACTACATAAAGTTCACGAGACATTCATTAATAATATCTTAGACTCTATGTGTACAAGTGAAAGCAAGTTTTTGCTAATACCCAGCAATCCAATATAATACAAAACTTATGTCTGACTGTTAAGATCTTTATTTTTAAGTGCATCTGGATACAATAAGTCATCAAAGCTGCGAGCAAAAACTACAGACTCTGCGTCGCTCGGATATACATGCCCCGTTCGTTGATGACTCGGAGATAAAGTACTTGGCATGTTGTTATCACTTGTTTGGTGATTATGTGAGGAAGATAGATTCATATAATGTTCACTTGGAGCGGTAGGAGTAAATAACATCAAATCATTTACCTCATATGTTTTTGTCGCAGAATAAGCAATTGGTATTATTGTTTGTGTTGTAAATTCATCTGATAATTTATCTTCGTTTTCAATAGTAATCTGTGATGCAGATGAGTTATTGTCCAAATCTATATTGTTTATATGTGATGACTTGATATCTCGAAAATCTGTGTTTGAATTATTGCTTCTTAATGTGCTCATCCTGAAAATACTGGAACTACTGCCAATACTGAATCTTTTCGATGAAAATGAAAATATTCTGCCATCACCAAATTGTTTTCCTGCAATACTTAGTCGTTTCTTATCTGTAGTATTATTTAACATTCCAGTTTCTGAACCTTCAGTATTGCTTCCACCTTCAACGCTCATAGTATCCCATCCATTCATATCACCACCCTTTGGCTCATCATCTTCAAAATCAAATTCGTCGGTTATTACAGGAGAACTTTCTTTGGATGCACTTAGCATACATACACCATAAACTAATGTAGCAATTCCGATTGTTACTAATAAGAGAGCCCACAGAGGATAAGTTCTTATTTCATCAAGATATATCATAGAATTGACAAGACCCATGGCAGTATAAAATCCATAAAACATGGGCACTACTAAGACAGAATCATGCAGTTTCAACGCGGTATTAAGACAGTATACCTATAAAAAAAAATAAAAAAAAAAAAAAAATTTGAATTATTAAGAACTTGATAATATAATGAGATTTGGCATAAGTTCTAAATTTTTACAAACCTGAAGCACAGCTGTTATGAGAAGACCAACCAGAATAAAATAACTTAAATTATCAGTGAACTGATTGGAAACGGTAACAGATATATAAAAAAGTTTAACACTAATTTAATGATAATAGTAAAAAATAAAAAATTAATAAAGGATTATTTAATAAAATTCAAATAACAGTAAATCTTTATAACAAACCCGCTTTTTGCCAACAATAACGTTTGACTTGCAATTAAGCCGCCTACACCAGCCATGGTCATTCCCACAGCTTTTTTCAATCGTTTTGTCTCTATCCCTTTAAGAAAACTGTCACGCATTTTTCTTTGATCATCCTGAAGAATCCAATAACAATAAAGGGCAACTCCAAATAATACAAATGTAATAATATCAAGAAACGAAAAATATACAATAAAAAGAGGACGTGTCATCAGTGATTTCAATTTTTCCAACGTAAGATTTTCATCTATATATATATACATATATGTGTATAAAAATGAAGTAAACTTATTAAAAATAAACCATCTTAAGATGAATAACGACAACTTACCATCTTGGCCAGTCATTCCACCAAATACTACAATCCATATCACACTAATTATTACAACAAATGTGCCGATAATATCAGCCTTTGTGATCCTCGTACCCACTAGCATTCGAGCAAATACGAAATTAAAGATGAGTGAAATAGAACCAAGTGGTGCGACCCATTGTGCTTTAAGGTAATCTAGATTTAGTGTAGGAGTATTAAATTTTAAATCTTTATTAAAAAAAATAAAATAAAATAAAATAATATATATATATATATATATAAGGACATACTTAGCGCAATAGTGCTTCCTACAAGTTGGCTCATAATATATAAATATAATCCAAAATGCCATAATGGTCTGCCACATTCATGTCGTTGTGATTCTGAAGGCTTATGTAAGTTTTTAACATGATCCAGTTTTAGTAAATTAAGCCCAACGGCGTTCATAACTGAAGCTGCAAAGGACACCAAAAAGCCAATCACAAAATTCAATATCTCCGACATCGAAGACATTTTGTTTAATTAATGTTATAAAATCCTTAACAAAAAGTATAAAAAAGCAGGTTTTTTTTTTAAAAAAAAAAAAATAATAATAAATTTGATGTTTTTTCGGAAATGTTCAGGACGAACAGAAAGTGGCAAAAAATCCTGTAAAAAGGGGATTAACAAATGGAATGCCACTGAAGGTCTAATAATAATGAATATTTTTGTTAATATAAAGAGGATGAATATATATTGTCAAGACACCTACTTTTAGAACTCCGACGAGAAGTGATCTACAAGTAAACGAAGCTCTTATGTACGTACGTACGAACTTGATAGATTTAATAACTTCGATAATTATTTTAACCTCTTTTATACAATTTAGTATTTTAGTGATACCTCAAAGTAATTAAAATGCCTAATGTGTCCTTTCCAAACAAAAAGGTACGAAAATAGGTGTCGTGCATTATTATTGTGTTATATATGTTATATATGCCATCGGACGATCTCAACAAAAATTTATCCAGATTGCCGGGTTGACGTATTAGTATTACAGTTGCCTGGCTAGCTTGACTAGCTTTACCGTCTATCTTGTCGATGTATGCTTTGCTTTTTTTTCCTTTCATGTCTAGACCTTATTTTGAAAGAACCTTGCATCGGTATTGAAGATGATTTATTAAATATACTATGAACGCATATATGGGTACATAATAAAGTGGCCTAAATTTCAATGCTTGTGGCTAAAAGGAGTATCCTTGTTGAATAAATGTTTAGATAAATGTGCAGCATATTTATTCTTTTAAAATTTTTATTTCTATTACACATATATCATTTATTACTATTATTATTATGACTATCTTCTTTTTTTATTATATTGCCAGAAGCGAAGCATAGAACTGATTTCTGGAGATGCAAAAGTTTTCTCAAAAAGGTACATAACTTTAAAAATATGGGTTTTCGGCCCGCCCAAGCGATGAGTCTTATAATTGGTTACGAAAAAATAAACAAATATATATTATGTGTAACTTGTTCCGGACATGTAACGGTTTCTATTTTCTATATTTGCCTTAGTACAATCTAATACACCCCTGTTGAATTACAAATAAATATTGTATAACCCTGGCATTATCATCAATTGCAAAAAGTCTTTGTACATTTATATATATATTTTTTTTTTTTTGAAAATTCAAAAGTAATGTACGTACGTATGTAGAATTTTCTTTTATAGTTATCAGTTATATAATTCTACATATTTAAACTGAAATTACTACGTATGAATGCTATTGACACAATTAAATTGACATTTTTAGCTAATTAAAAAACAATGTGATGTCCCACAGTTACAACGAGTGTTGTACATGAGACAACCGGAGAGACAAAATTGAGGTTTTAAAAAAATGTCAATTACTTAAAATTTTATTAAACTTTCTTTCAGCCCTTAAGTAAAAGTGGTTTAGTATTATTATTATTATTGTTGTTTTTGAGATGGCTTTTCAATTTAAGAATTGAGCAATTGATGGAACAAGTTGGAACGCTCCGGAACGAGATGGGACTAGGCAAGGAAAAAAAGTTCAGGACAGTCAAAATGTACAGTCAGCATGTTTTCATGTTTTTCAAGAACGTAAAATCTAAAGTTATACTTATGTGAGAATATAAATTTCAAAATATGGTATATGGATGTTCTTGTTAAACATAAAAATAAATTCGAATCTCGCTCAAAAACATTCTAAACATATATGAAATTAGTCATTATTTTAAATTAAAAGTTTTAATGCAATTATTAACTCTTATTTCATTCTTCATTATGCAACTATCAGATGTTGAAGGCACGATGATCTTAGTGTAATGATTAGATTTGATTCGAATTCGAATTCGAATTATTAAACGAATTAAAATAATTTAAATAAATGGAATAAATAAATGGAATAACCTGAGTAATTCATAATTATTGGATGCGAAGCAGCCAACAACGAGAATTATCCGACAAACACTTATAATCATGAATTTATTTCTGTTATTTTTTTCATGTGTTACGAAATATTCACGTTTACTCGAATTAAAACTCCCTACCAATCATGATTATAAATTGTCGGATAGTACCATTTGCTCAACCTAGCAAATGATTGGCTGACACGTGCCGCTTCGCGGCACGTGTTCATTTGCCCGGTTGAACCAAAATACCGTTATTAAAAAGTTTTTGCCGAATAATGTATATTTGTTTGTAAACTAATTCATTATCTGCTGTGAAATTTAATATTTTAGCTTCTGGGCCCCATTCGGCCCAGAAATAATCCATATTAATTCGCGATATACAACTTGCATATAATAACGGTGTTATCCGGTAATTTTACAACGATTGTGATTGATAAATGGGGAAAACCCCTACTTGAAAGCAAGTTTCAAACAGTGGTTTTCCTAGTCCATTCCCCAAATGGGATCTTTGCTAGGAAAATCGCTCTTCGACATTTTCCGATAGGGCTAATTCGGACAAATTTAGACCAATATATTGGTTCTCATTTACATGTAAATCTTCTTTTATCTTTAATCCAATAGCTTTTCGGAGAACTTTTGAATCAATAAAGGCAAAAAATGATTAACGTGCATGTAAGTACCGTTATGTTGGTTTAAGTTTGTTGAATTAGCACTGTCGGAAAATGTCGAAAGTGATTTTCCTAGCAAAGAATTATTCGTATTTTTGGCAAATGACTTCGTCATTTGGTAAATAATGTAATTGCAGTCAAATAGTTTGAGTTGTTTAGTAATAGCAAACACTATTATAGTAAACTGTCAAATTATACAAATTATTCAAATAAGCTAAAATAAGTAAAATAAATATAAATGATTCTCATTAATACGTATTGTGATACCGGAATATCGTGACCGATCACGTGAAAAATACACGAAATGCAATAAGTTACATTTGTGATCAGAAACGGTATTTCGGATGCAGGGGAGGATGCAAGGATAAATTACACATTCTTAAAGAAATTAAACATTATTAAAAGAATTAGAAAAGTAAAATTGTAAATAGTATTAAATAGTTTTAAAGGTATATTAAGTGCAAAGTCACATTTGTAAGTGACGAATTTAGTATTATAAATAAATGTCAAAATGGCCCTTAGGAGTGATATGCTTCATTCGTTTTATTAAATAACAAGCCCAATACATGATATTAACAATAAACACTAATATTATTACTGTTACAAACCCATAATCATTGTTGTTAATTCAAGTTCTTTATTATGTAACTTATCTACTTGTCTTCATTGACCAAAAGTAACTAAAAAACTTAATCACTTATTAGTCAAATCTAACATCCTTTTTCATAAAGGTTACTTATCATATGTTACATGAGATTTTTGATTATGAAGTAACTGGGTTACAGTTTTCTGAACCCAACAGTATCAACTTAAATTACAAACTAAATTTTTATAAATTTATATATACTGTATATTAACTTTAATATAATTCAAAACTAATTTAAATAGATTGATATTAATAAGAATCATTTATATTTTAAATTTAAATTTATAAATAATAAAAAAACTTATTTAGTTATAGTACTAGATTACAAATATTTACTTTTTATATATAAATATAAATTACTTTAAACAAATTTGGTTTACAGATTTATTATTTTTAGTATAAATTATAATTTTGTTAAAAAGTTTTTTTTAAAAAAATAAAGTTTTGTTTCATAATTTTTATTAAATATAAAGAATTGTTATTTATACATACAATAGGTTTTTGCTATTTATATTATTTTTTTAAATTGATTTTTTTAATAAAATTTTAACAATTAATATTAGCAATATAGTTTTTAAATAAATATATTTTTAAATCTATATTAGTAACTTTATTAAAATTTTTTTTTAATTTTGACACTACTAGCTTATTTATTGGATTTTTAATTTTTATAGTACAATTTGTATTTATATAAATTTATAGAATTAATTATTATTGGTCATCTCATTAAGGATGATACACCAACTTAATACATTTGAATTAAAATGTAATTATACAAAATTTTACATATTAACTTGTAATTAAATAAATATATTTAATATTTGA